ATTTAAATTATTAAAATGATGTGGTAACAAAATTGTAAATAAATTTATTAACAGTAAAAAATTAATTTTCAAATTTAAAGTAAAATAATACTATTTTTGACTCAAATAAAAACAAGACATACGTACAGTACAAATCCTCTTCTAGTAGCCAATAAGCACTAAACCTTTTTTATGTCAAAACAAATATGCAAATTCTTATAAGCGTATGTTTCTTGTTGTCTTATTACAAGCAAAACTGTAACACTTATAATTTGTGACAAGAAATTTTAAATATTAACGCTTTAAGAATTTAAAGCATATTAGTAGTAGAAGGAGGTTGGTTTTTTTTGTCTCGGATTCAAACTCTATTTAGGATGAAAATATATTCTTTAAATCAGAATATAGAAAATACTAACTCCAGATATTTAAAAAGATTATGGGCCTGACGTCCGAAAGTTCTACAGTTAATTTAAAAAAAAAACTAGGAATGTTTCCGCGCTATGCGTAGATTATTTTTATAAAAGTTTGATTATTATTTAAAGTAACTTAATTTAATATTAAATTAATATTTTAAATATAAGTATTTGATTTGCAATATTTTTTGACGTGATTATACATCAAAATATTTTAACCTATTTCAAAATATATTATAATTTAATTAAAATTTTACTAACATAATATATGTGAAAATTAACTGTTAATCTAAAACTTAATATTTCTATATAATTTCGTACAACAACTTTCAAAATATTATTAAAATTAATCTTGTTTTAACTAAATTTAATATATAATTAAATTCAACAACTATATGTTTTCTTTATTTAATTTAAAACACTGATTTCATCTTTTCATTTTAAATAAAAAGAAAATAACTTATCAAACATATGACTACAACTGAAGCACCTGATTATTGTTCCAATTAATTTGGATTTCTTTTTATTTTAATTATGTATGTGTAATTTGTTTTTTACATTAACAGTCTCAAATGCAAAACAACAGTCAATATTTAAAACTCTTACAAATTCTTAAAAGAACTATTGTTCATATATAAAAAACATTTACATAATATACAAAATCACAATCATATTGATAAACTGTAATTTTGATTTGATCTCTGAAACATCTGCAAACGATAGAATTTGTAGATGAATAAAGCAAATAATACATATACAAATACAATTTTATACTAACTCATTCTATTAAACAAAGTATGTTGAGTTTCTCAAAACTCAAAATGTGTAAAAGATTCATTTACATTTGGCTTGTAATTTAACTTATATATTTTTCTTACAACACACATATATTTTGATGAGTCTTTATAATTAAATTAATAATATATATTATATTATTTTTAAATGAGTTTCTAAACCCAAAAAATATCATATTAGTTTTTTTTACATGTTCAGTTTGTAAAGAATTTTTATTTGTTGATGTGGATGGCTAATGATGTTTTTAAGATATCTTTTTTTACATAAAAATGTATATACTATTTTCAAATATAGGAATGTGATATATTAATGTTTAAAATAGAATGATGCTAGTATATTTTTCTGTAAATGTATTGCGTATATTTTTTTGTAATAAGTAATATATTAATAAAATCTTATAGATTTATCTTTGTAGAGACAATAGACAATTTTGTGTCCACATATGCAAAATACAGCTGTGTTAATTTCAAAAAAAAAACTATTTATTTGTTATGTATATACTATGTATGTTTGTACAAGACGAATAATTTAAATTTTTCTAAATTGTGAATGAATTCAGTTTTGTAACTTTGTTTTTTTTAACTATTATTTAAGATTTTTGGAACAATTTGTTTTCTAAAATATTTTCTGTGTATTTCAAAAAAACTAAAATTAGAGTTTTTTATTATTGTGTGGACGAACTTTATATCTCATAATATTATATTTTATCTATTTTTAGTTTAAACAACTGATTATTATTAATTTAGGCTGTAAAATTTTAAAATATTAAACATATAACTAATTTTTCTTTTTGTTATAATCAGGTTATATGTCATATATTTTTTGTTATTACAGTATATACAATTTAATCAATATTCAAGTATTATTATTATTATTAATTAAATACTATTTAATTTTTACTATTTAATTTTAAATATGTTATAAATATATTAAAGAATTATTTTTATTAGAAGTCTGCTGATGTTGCATCATTATAGAGAATTTTTTTATGATGATGTGGATGACTTGAGGAGCCCCAAACTTCTCCTTTCATTTTGTATAGATTGATTTGTCATTCTCTCCTAAACCTAGTAACTAATAAATATAAAAAAAAATTTGCACCAAAACCTAATGTACAAATTTTTATAAACACCTGTTTTTGTTTTATTCTTAAAAGCAAAACTATAACGTCTATAATTTGTAAAAAGAAAATCTAAATATAAGTGAATTTCAGATTTAGTCTTTAAACATTTAATAAAGTTACTTACATAATCATTTCTAATAAGTTGATTTATTAAAATGATGTGGTAACAAAATCGTAAATAAATTTATTAACGATCATAAAAAACATTAATAGTCAAAATACTATTTTTGACTCAAATTAAAACAAGACATGCGTATAGCATGAATTATCTCCTCGTAGTCAATAAAAATAAAACTTTCTTTTGTACCAAAACGAAATTGAAAATTCTTATATGCATATGTATTTTGTTTTTTTTATTAAATGCAAAACTGTAACATTATAATTTGTAACAGGAAAATTTAAATATTAATGCTTCAATAATTTAGTTTTTACATACTAGAAGAGTTGCATATATAACCATTTTTAATAACTTGAATTAATAAAATGTTGTGGTAACCAAAGTGATGAGCCCTGGTGATAATACATGGGGATTGGTTTCTTTAAGCCGTAGATTCAAACTCTATTTAGAACTACGAGCAGCTCCATCAGTTTCTCAAAAGAAGAGATTTTTAGAACTGTATCTCAATTTTTTTTTAAACTATCATTATTTATTAGCTTAAGTATTTTATATTTAATATATTATTAAATTATATTAATAAAATATTGGTATAGACTTAGATTAAAGTATTTATCTGGTAAATATGCTTTAAAATATTATTATTTTAAACATTAATTTCGGGTATAAGATTATGGATCTCCGATTTCATGTGTTTCTTGTTTTTGTTTTTGTTTTTGTTAACAGCCTCATATTCCTAAAACGATTTAGTAACCTAAGTCGGTGGAATTGAGTTTATATAAAATAAGTGATGAAAGCAACTTCGAGCACTCCATGCTAGCTAGTCCGTCTTTGTGTTCTGCACGCATGGTATGTGATCTATCGAAAAAGAAATTTCTGCTTGTCTCATATTCTTCTAGATATATTGTGAATGCTGGCCACTCCATCGGATTAAACACCATCTTCACCATGTCAAAACAGCATGTAAGAAAAGTTATTCTTGGTCCATCTTCACGTGTTTCTTGTTTTTTTTCTAAGAATTTAAGTGTAACGCTTATAATTTATAATAATTTTTTAAAAAAATATTAACGTCTTTTAGATTTAATTATATATATAAAATAAAGTTACTTACATAATCATTTTTATTATATTAATTTTATTAAGATAATATGGTATTAAAAGCGTAAACAATTTAGTGTTTTTAATATGGTACCAAAATCGTAAATAAATGGGTGTTAAATCCTCATTCGTGTTTTTAATTTTTTTTTTATCAAATAGCATGGTATATTGTGCTTTAGCCACACAAAAAATGATACTTCCTCTGTTTTTTTATATAAGATAATTTAAAGATTTTTTTTTGTTCAAAATAGTTGATGTTTTCATATATCTATACAAAAATTAATTAGATTTTTATTATTTTAACTGTTTGAATTCTTCATATTGTTTTTCTATTTGTTGGATTATTTTAGAAATGATGATAACTCATGCTTTATTATGGAAAAAATAAAGAATTAAATAATATCTTAATTTGTATGCAAACATCTAAAACATCATATATTAAAAAATGGAGGAAGTACTATACTGTTCATTCAAAACACAACTGAATTTATAAATGCTACTTGTATACAACACACGCAAAATCAACATCAACTTATTTACCAATTTTCTACGGCACAATTTAAAAAAAATAAAAATTGAGGAAGCTATATAGAGCTTAGACCCTGCTTAAAAATAATACAAATACTGTATTATTCCATGTAAATAAAGTTACGTCCAATCTGTATAGCCTCCCTAAAATCTGGAGAACAAAGAGGCTTTGATGCAACACAAAAGGGGCATTATAGGCATTAGTACTGTATTGAACACGAACAGAAGAGTTTTGTCTCGCGTGTAATTCACGTGCCACCTTCGTTTGCTTAATGTAATTTTTCTTTTTCTTTAAAACATCTTTTGCTCTGTTAATTTTTGTCGGTATCATCTCTGGGTGGTTCTCGTGCATGTCTCCCACTTTTCATCTCCAAAGTTTCCTCGTATCTCTACCCCTCTGGACCACTAAATTACGTAAATAGCCCTTACATTTCTCTTTTTATCTTGTTGTTCCTTTAATTTGAAATTTCAAAAATTAGCTTGCGTTGCCTGGACTCGTGAGGACGTAGATTACGAGTATATAGATAGTAGATAGATGAAGGTAAGTGGTAAAATCGTGAGACGCTTTTAAAAAAAAAAAAATCGTGAGACGTAACTCAACGATGATATGATGAGGATTGACATACGATGATTAATGAAGTGGGTGTGATTGAGTGAGACGTAATAACGAAATATAGATAAAGGTCAGTGGTAAAAGTCGTAATATTGGAATGCATGGAGGGCAAATCCCAAAGAAGGAAAAAGTTGAGGAGAGAGAGGAAATTGGCATTCCCCAAGAAGGAACTCCCCAACTTTTGCCAAAACAAAATGCCAACTTCACTGAAACACACAACCTCCTTCCCCTCATTTCTTGGCCTTTTCTCCTTTCTAAACACTAAACAAAGAGTAATAATGAAAAATCAAAACAAAAAAATACAGATTCCTTATTAAAAAAATATTATTCTTTAGAAAGTAATAATCTTAAATGTATTTGTTTTAATTAAAATCATAAAGCATGAACTGCACCAGTTTTTTTCCACCACTTTCTCCAAGAAACGCAAAAGATGAAAAATACCAACTCTCTTTATGACTCGGTAGTAACTTCTTCCTTATAAATACAGATTGTCCACACCTTCCTTGAGTTCCACTTCCATGAAAACTCACAGACACACATCATACATATAAATGTCACTTATAAACATATAATGAGAATCAGCTGCAATGGGTGTAGGGTCCTACGCAAAGGTTGCAACCAAGATTGCACCATAAGACCATGCCTTCAATGGATCAAATCGGCAGACTCTCAAGCCAATGCAACACTCTTCCTCGCCAAGTTCTACGGCCGAGCCGGTCTCCTTAACCTCATCGAATCCGGTCCTGATCACCTTCGTCCTGGTACAAACTGAAAGCAATATATATGTCCCATTGAATTATCTTTTTTTTCATACATAGCGGTCCACTGAATGATCTTACAATGTATATGGGATACTGAGAGATCCAAGAGAGATTTGGTAACAAATATATCAAACAAGGATCTAAATATCTATTTTAGATTCCGTCAGAGACTTCACATGCACAGTCACTTTAAAGAAAGGACATTTGCTTTTTCATTTTTCTGGTTTAATTTCATAACCTTTTCATTGTATTTTGTAATTTTCTAGCAATATTTAGGTCATTGCTATACGAGGCGTGTGGTCGGATCGTGAACCCTGTGGATGGTTCGGTGGGTTTGATGTGGTCCGGAAACTGGGCTCAGTGCCAAGCCGCGGTTGACTCCGTGCTAAACGGCTTGCCCATCACTCACACGCCACTTCCCAGTGCATCCGCGTCGCACCAGGTCGTTCCCCCTCACAGGACTTACGACATACGCCACGTGGCAAAAGATCCAGCAACCGGCGGTGACAGTTCGGAGAGTCTATCCCTGGGCCCACGTGTTAACGGTAACAAGACCAAAACACAGTCTGGCCGGTTCAGACGGCTCGATGAGACCGTGAATTACCAACTTGGTGAATGTAGTCATGACACGTGGCAACTAGGGAGTTCTAGTGCTACGCATGGCTATGGTCAGTTGGCGTTGGAGAACGTGGAGAGTAGAAGGGAAGCTCCATTAAATCAAAGCTCGAATCTTGGGTTTGATGATCAGGTCGATATCAACGAGGTTGGCTTAGAGCTCAGACTTGGTTAATAGATAGCATTACTATCAGAAATGTCTTTTTAATTAATAAGTTTACTTTCTATATATTTAAAAGGAGGAAAAAAATGAAAACCAAATCAAACTTGGTCTACTGGCTATGTATATTAATGTGAGTCATTGTTGGTATATTTGATAATTAAAATTTAGAAGTCTCTCGACGCGTTATGTAATATACATAATGATATATATATTATATATGTTATTATGTTGTCTTTGCTTTATAGTTTTATCTTGATGATGAACGTGATTAAAATTCCAAATCATCACAAGGAACACATAATTATTATTTCCTTTGTTTGTGAAAATTATAAATGAAATACTAGTACAAACGATTTCATTTTTTGCCGTGGGATTCTAAGGAATTATAGTAGAATTTAGCGAGACATGCCATGATACTGGGAAGTTGACAAACTTTTGGAGAATTCTCGGTACCGGCTCGTTGGGCCATCTCGATTACTATGGCCCTCAATCTTATATGCTGACAAATCTATGTTGCTTCTTTCTAATTCTGCCATTGTATTTAAAATATATATTTTTTTAAGATCGCCTGACATAAGGAGTTAGCACCTGACTACAGCCCACGTCCTGTGGTATCATGCAAATATAATAGTGAAGAAAATCAATTGGTAGTTAAAGATTATTTTCATAAGAGTGAAGTCCAAAACCCAATATTTTTGGTAAACTCATAGATATTTTCTGAAAAGCGATTAGAACGAAACCTTCACAAGTAAATCCTTCATATTTTGGATCTTTGGTACGTAATAAATAACTTTTACTCATCTGAGAAAACACAAATTAAATTTTCACCAGACTCGACCAGAAAGGCAACGTAGAAAGGAAATTGTAGAAAAAGAAAATCACTTATCTATCTCTATTTCTCTAATACATATCTGTAAAAACTCAAGTTTGATCTACGAAAGAACTAAGGTTTGTGGGTTTAAAGAGAAGTCTTTTATTAAAAGAAGCCGGAGCTTGAATGAATACACGGAGGTTTAGATCGTCGGAATAAGAACGCCGACCTAAACTTTTATAATCGAAAGCTAGAACAGTCAGATTGTTTAGTTTGCCCTAGGTCTCGATAGATGATTTTTGGATGTTCTAAGAAGTCGAGGGCTTTCCATATTTATAGCTGATCAGGTCGGTTTTCGATGTGTATTTAGAATAGGAAAGTCTTCTTGCCAACAAGAAGGAACTTCCTTTTTCCCGGGTTTGCTCGATAAATGAAAAGTTTCCATTTGTTTAGCCGACCTGAAACTTGTAAAATGGGCTGACCAAAATTCATATCGGGCTTGTAGAGATGGTACGAATCTCATCTCTAACAATATCGCATGAATTACGCAATACAATTACAAACCAACATATTATCATTTGGTCTGAGATTTAGAAGTATAATTGTGACAATCCATATGTTTATTTTGGTTACTAGCTTACTAGGAGTCAAAATTCACGTTTTATCAAATATATAAATAAGTCCTTACAATATAGTCAAAGTTTTGGTGATATATATCTATATTTACATATGTATAGCTCACAAAACGTGCAAAAATTTCTAACATTGCCGAAAAAGAAAGCTAACAATCACCAAAATTTTAGCAACAAAGTAGTAGTAAGGGAGCATAGTAAAATGATATATATATAGTTAATTACGATCATCTTAGTGAGCAGCAGCAATCGAACATCGCTTCACGAATCTTCCTTTCATTCGAGGCCTTTTCTCAGCATTCAATTTACGTACCTCATACCTTATCTTTTTGGAGAACAACCTTGTCCTCCTTTTCTCTCGGTATCTTGAAACCCTAGCTTCTCTTCCTCCATCCCCAGCCTCTCCCATGTGTAACCTTAGGCCATGAAAGTGGTTGTGATGATGAGACTCTCCCCGTGTTTCACCCTATATATTCATGACACAAACAAGTTTTGTAATTAGTGATAATGCTTTCTTTTATATCATTATTGAAAAGAAAAAAAATAACAAATGTAAAAGATTTGCTCTACTAGTTTGAAACTAGTCCCTAAATCGTAAAAAAAGAAATGGATTAATCTAAATTTCCACCATAAACTATGCGATTGTATAAATAATATATTGAATAATATATATAACAAAGTAAGGGATGGTAGACATACCGTGGAATTGGGTGGCAAACAGAGCATGTCGAGATCTATTTCAGGTGGCTCGAGGGCGGTCCATGGTGTTCCTTGGCAACCCCATGTGGAAATCACCGCTTGGTAGTCCAATCTAAGCATAAGAACCTTCTCCTTCTTCTCTTCCTTAATCCTATCACTCACTTCATTCACTCCCACGCCCATCACATCCTTAGCTGCGTCTTCTTTTTCTTCTTCTTCTCCTTCTTCCTCGAAAGCCATCTTGTGTGTGCTCTCATAGTCAAAGCTTATTTCCAATGGAGAAGTCTCATCAGCGTTATCTAGGTCACACACTTCTGTTGTCGCAACTTCTTCCTCTTCCTCTTTCTCAATCTTTAACATCTCACCTAACCCGAACTCTTCCACGCCATGAAATTCTTCATTTGTCCCTCCTCCGAGGAGAGTCTCCACATCAGCTGTGAACTGAGCCAGTTCCATGTCGGTCGGGAATAAACCATTTAGACAACTCTCAGCGTTGTCATCTTCTTCATCGCTGTTTTTGAAACATACAGGCAACATCGGAAACTCTATTTTTGTCTCCACGGATTCGTTTAAGCATTGCTCCAAGACAGGCACCTGAAAGATGAGCTGATCTTCGACCTCGTAGCTCTGATCCTCTGAGCTCATCACCGGCACAAGGTCATGGAAAACCATCGTGTGACTCTTCTTGCCTCCACGTGGAGTCCGAGCTTTACGTGTAAACCCCTGATGCCATGTGGCTCGGTGAGGTGGGGAGGAGGAGGCGTTGCCATGCTTTCCGGTGCTAGCCGATTTCAGACGAACCCTCTCGTGTCTACGGGCAAGAGGGTTCGCTGAGTGGACCGAACCGTCACAAGAATGGCAAAGGAAAGCATCATCAGCTGCGCAGTACCAACGTGCTCGCCTCTTCACGCAGCTGTCACAAGCCCTTGCTGTCTTTCCTCCAACCGCATTATCCAAACTTTTCATCATGTTATCACTCTATAGTTATCACCATGAACGAGAAGAAACGTTTACTTTTGAGTAAAAACTAGTTGCCAAGTCTCTCTTACAAAAAGAATGTTTATCGAACTATGTTGTTCTCGCTTCAAAGGTTTCAGTTTTCGAGAAGTGGTTATATAAAGGGAGACTACATTTTGGTTTTATGAGGCAATGAGGGGTTGAGTTTAAAGGTGGAGTAGTCTGGTACATGTCCCACACGATGTGAACTTTTTTTTTTTTTTAGGAGTTTTGATTAAAGTAAAAATTTGATGCACTTTTTGGTTGTTTATGCTACCCATGAGGGCAATGTAGAGGTCTTATCTCGATTATGATTGGTCAAGTTCTTCAAGATGATCCTCCTCTTAGTGTTTTGATTGGTCAGCTTCTTAATCAGATGGATATCTTTATGGTCCACCTGTCGTTTTCGCCTGCCCCAAGCAGAATTCATTTTCTTGATTTATAAATCTGACATTTAATTATGGTGTTGATATATCTACATCTTTATTTTATATGTTTTTTTTAATAAATTTATATGTTTTTTTTATATGTTCATCTTAAACTTTTAGAGAACGAAATCATACTCATATTGTGTTGTTTGTGTCAGTGTGTGTGTCCAATTCCAATTTGACGCACTTTTTTATCTATATTGTATCCATAGCTTCGGACTTTGTATGTTAGGGTGTATAGTATCTTTCTTTAATATACCCAAGTACAAATAATAGGTAGATACTGTAGGAGAAAACTGGAAAAAGTTTTTTTTTTCTTCTAAAAATACAAAAAAAAAGGAACGATAAATGAAAAAGTGCAAAATTAAATATTCTTATAAACATTGGGTTAAAAGAAAAACAATATAAAATGGATAACTATCAACTATGGTTTGTGCTGGACCACATCAATATGCAGAAAATTTCAAAAACAAAGGCATCAACCTTTTGTTGAGAAGATAAGAGGATCGATGGGTATCATGTACAACTCTTGGCTTTAATCGTTTACTTGGAAAATGATGTTTTTATTGTTTTCCCCATTTGTACGAACTGGATTTTGGGAGTCTGATTATTGATTAAACTAGACAAGGTATCATTAGACCTTAAACTTTGGCCCCTATATATCTAGGACACATATATGTCGATATCTTTTATATATAAGTTAAATAAAATTGAGTTGGCATCATACATGTTACATCCTCTATTTATATTTATGCTGTAATTGTAGTCAATATTTGTGATTACTCTTTTATCTTACGTTCTAGAACTTCTGCTCAAACCTTAATTATATAAGATATCCACCAACAATTGTGATTAGGCTTATCTTTAAGCCGACGTCGACACAACCTGAATCTACATCGAAATTGGACTTTAACACGAACCAAACACTGAACTCAGTCCTGAAACCATGCCGAACCCGATTTCAGTAACACAGTAACATTATGAAAGTAACCGGTCCATCATCATGCGACCTCATTAATTATGTGATCACTTATCGTCATAGTAACGGAGTTAGTGGGTGATACAAATTTAGTGTTAACGTGCGAGTATTTAGTAACTCGTATTTCACTATTCTTTGAAGAAATATTTTGACTCGTTATTACAAACTCGTAATAATTAAGTCCATATCCATGCTATGATGCATGAGCGAAGGTAACAATATAATTATTTTGAAAAAAAAAATTATGGTGAATAATATTTTTTTTTGTCCACAAAATGGCAAAATTTGAAGGCTAGTTTCTTTTCTAAAATCATTTGATTGAACCTCTCCATATGTAGTCTTCCATTATTCATTATTATAGTTTATACTACCTCAAGAATGTACTTTACATTTCAATTCCAACAATGAATGCTTTTTCATTACACAAATTGTTATCCTAGCAATTGAAGGGTAATAATAATCGACTAGGTGATCGGTGGTGCAGGCTATAAAATATTTAATATATTTAATTATTAGTAGTATAGTATTAAAAATATTTCATTCGTATATAATTAATTATGTATTTATAATAAAAATGATAAATTAAATATAAAAAATTAAAGATTTTAAAAAAATGAAGATAAAAAATATTAAGTAAGATTTTAACATATTTCCTTAGATAAAAAAATGTAAATATGATAATTAAATAAATAGGAAAACATGAACAACTATAATTATTTATTTAATTTATATTTTTGACATGCACGCACGTGCATGTATAATTTTTTTTAGACATAATTAATTGTAATATTTAAGTATTAATTAATTTTCTTATAATTTATGTAAATGTTATGTTTATATACATATACATTTTTAGTGTTCAACAACAATCACACAAACGTTTCCTATCTTTTTGTGTGTTTTGAAATCTTTTATTTTTTCTAACGTTTACATTAACAAATAATTACAAATATAAAAGTTATATTAAATAAAAATTATATTTTTATAATATGTTTTGAATATTATCTATACTATACTTTCTTTTTCTCCTTACACAATATAATCTTGCAGATATATATATATATATATATATTTTCTTTGACTTATTGCTAATTAAACAAAAATAAATTTTACCATATTTACTTATTCTAAGAACGGGTAGATGGTTAGTCTGCACATTCGTGCGTACCAACCACCTCACATCTCTTAGGACATATTCAGATTTTTTAAAAAATATAAATTGTCTAACAACTAAAATTAAAATTAGAGTGTAGTCATGGTTAACAAAATGTATGCATGACAAATTTGCATGCAAGTTTGCCTTTTACACAATTAATATTTATATCTACACGCACATTTGTAAGAAAACCGAAATATGGCTTTTATGTGTTAAAAAAAAATAACAAAGTATATGTTTGGTAATACATATTTTTATAATGTATGGTTGATTTTTTAAAAAATAAAAAATATTAAGTATATTTATGCATTTAACTATGTGTTAGAAATAAGTGAATTATAATATTTAGGTGTTGGTAAGTTTTTTATATTTTCTGCAAATGTTATATTTTTATACGATGCAGTTATTGGCGTTTAACAACAATTACGAAAATCGTTTCTATCGTTTTGTATTTAATCAAACAAAAATTATTTTTCAGCGTTTTATGATATATGGTTTCTCAATAGAAATATAATAAATATGTATTATAAAATTTGTGAAATCATATTTTATAAAATTCTTGGATAGCTCTCCGCTCATCTCTTCGTCAAAATGTTTAATAATCCACAATCAGTCGCTTCCACAAACTCTCTGTAGCATAATCGTTTAAGCCAATCAGATCTAAACTTATTTGTATATGATTTAAGGTGTAAAGTATTATATTTAATATTTGATTGTTATATTAAAAATCAAGAGTTAATATGTTCCAAACTTTAATATATTTGTTAATACAAAATATAATGGATCACAACATATACAAAAAATTGATTCATGAAATAATATTTTAATATGTTGGAAAAAATATATGCATGAAAGAATTAATAATGTAAGATAATATTTTAAAATATTTGAAATAAAAACATAAAATCGATCAAAATTATTCTTATTTTTTTTCTCTTCTTTGACTTATAGTTTTTTTAACCTTTATTAATATATTTAACATTAAGATCATCTCAAATGTATTTTTTCTCTAAAATATAAATGGACTTCTCTCCAACCTGTTTCTATTTTACAAAAAAAAGATTATTATTTTTTCATCTATAATTGAAAAAAGTAAATCTTTCTTTTTCCTCTAAATTAAAATATTTAAAATAAAGGTGAGTTGGAGATGCTTTAAATCAAAAATATAACATGAGATTTGTATATAAAATCAAAGTCGCAAAGATTCATTTTTACTATTACTTCTACTTTTTATTTATATATACAATATTATAATAAAAAGTTGGTTAAGAGGATTCTCTGTTTATTTTTTCTTTCATTTATAATTTTGAATTCTTGCTATATAATGAAAATTTATTTACATATGATATGAAAAAAAAATTATTCAAAAATAAGATTTATTTAGTTTTAACTTAACCAATCAAAATATTTTATTTATTTTAAGAAATTTGTCATGTCACATTAATGATATGGCATTTTTTACTACTAAATTTTCTTTAAGTGTTGACACATAGGATTTTTTTTTAGTAAACATGCTTCTCAAATAATAGTTACGATTGTGAAAAAAAAAACAAGTAGAACTGAAGATTTTGTTAAGTATTGATGGTTTGTCCATTGGTTTCTTTTTGTTTTCCGGTTTCAGAAAAATTTTGGTAGACTGAGAATTGAGAAAATTTGCAGTTTTGTTATTTTTTCGTTTGTTTTTCTAATTCAGGACTGTTGTCTCTGAGAGTTTGTGTACTCGCCGGTTTAGTCTCTAGAGAGTTGGTTTCCATTTTTAACCTTTGCCGACTTATGTAATAGATTCATGTATTTTATCAATGTATTCTATCAATCTATCCACCAATACATTTTTGTGTTTTAATGAAATTTAGACCCAAAAAAAAACACACCAAGCAAATTTTGTTGATCCCAATGATTTTAGGCTTTTGGGATTTTACTCGATATTGTACAGGATCTTTAGCTCTTTTGACCAAACATAACCTTTTTTAAAAAAAAAATTGATAGATGATGATAAGAGTAGAATTATCATCGCTCATTTTACTCATCATGAAGGAAGAGATGAAAATATTCACTCGGTTAGAGTAAAAGTGATGTGATTATAGGGCCGGTTCTAAAAATTTTGGGGCTTGAGCAAAATATAAAAATAAAATTGAAAATTATTATATATTTTTAAAATTGATTATAAATGTTAATTAAAAAAAATTTGGGGGTTCTTTATTACAACTTAAATAAAAATTGAGGGTTTGTTTTTAATATTAATAGTTTTAAAAAAATTTAGAAACCAAAACAAATATTTCATTTCGCTTGATCGAGACCGACAAATTATATATCAGTTACAAAAACAAAGAAATTGATATTGGTGACCAATATTGTAACTAATGTAAATGTTGGAAACATCTTTCAAAACCAAAGTTGACAAGATTTGTTGGTCTACTTAGCAAAAAAAACTTTTTTGTTGGTTTATACCTGTGTTGCCTTTTATTCTTTAATTCGTAAAACATAGTAAACACATAAAACCCCACAAATACAGTATACTAGGTAATAACCTAAGCCACAGAATAAGATATTTACAAAGAAATTATTAAACATAATTTTAATATTTTTTAAAATAAAATTAATTTAAATTATTTTTGTGCATAGAATATATTTGAGTAACAATACTATTTATTTA